TTTTGATAGCGTTACACATGCATTATGCCTTCTTACACGAAAGGCTTTATTCATGTACAGCCTCAACTAGTACAAACTAAACATATCTCAGCCTCATTACTCTCAACTTAATCAAGCCTCGGCTCTTCCCCTCGACTGAGAAGAGTGGGGAGCAAGCACAACCATCTCCTCTCCCCTGTTATACTTCAACATCCTCGCCTCCTCCCTCGAAACCCTGTAAGCATTCCTCAGCACTTCCTCAGGCAACCCCTTGAATACCGATGTTTTTCCGACGATGGGGCTGACCATTGCGTTGTCGTTGGTCTTTATAGCTACCCACTCGAAGTTTTCGCTTCTTGATTGGATCAAGAGCGCGAAGTTCTGGGGGACGACGATGAGCTGGTTTTGGCGGAGCTCGCCGTTGAAGGCAGTGTTGCCGCGGTCGTTGACGATCTGGAGCCGAGCGTTTCCTCTGGTGACGTACATTATGGAGTGGGCGTTCATGTTCCAGTGTGGGGCAACAAAGGCATTCTGGGGAGAGGAGGGGGCCGGGAATTGAAGAAATTAATTAGCACGTTAATTAATTGTATAAATCATCAGGAAACATTAATTCAGTAGCGCGCTTTTTTCTTACCCTGTGGAGGACACCCCTGACCGCGTTGAGCTGGAGATACCTGAGAAGGGGAAGCTTCTGGCTGTTGAGGGTGGTGGTCCTCCCTGCATTAGGATTGTATATGTCCGCACTGAGAAGGGGAAGCTTCTGGCTGTTGAGGGTGGTGGTCCTCCCTGCATTAGGATTGTATATGTCCGCACGCCTCGGATCATCGATGTTGCGCTTCACCCCCACCGAGCAGAAGGCCTGCTCAAGTCCGTTTGCCATCAGACGCCTCCTCTCCCTCTCTCTCTCCTCTTCCTCGTACTCCCTTTCTCTCTCCTCTCCCTCGCTCATTCCCTCTTCCCTTCTTGACGGCCTCACGATGTGGAAGCTTCCCTCGACCCTCACAATCTCCCCCCTGTCGTCGCTTCGTCCTCTCAGCTTCTCCGCTAGGTCCCTGCTTATGCCCATGGATTCGGCCAAACTTTCGGTGTCGAAACCGCTGAGGAGGTTAAAGTCGTCAGAGTCTTCTCTAGGCTCGACGCCTAAGTGTTGGCCTCTCCCCTTCCTTCCGGCGAGAAGGAATTCCTGATGAGAATTTTAAGAACTTGAATTAGAAAGTTGAGATTATTAACTGATTAGTTGAAGCTTTTCGCGTAATTAATCTTGTTAATTTCAGTCTCTTGTTAGTTAATTTGTAGAGTAAGTAAAGAGGCCAGGTGATTAATTAGTGAGGGGCTGATATATATGACATACATCCGTTCACCGCGAGAGAGCACGCATGAGAGGGCAATAATAGGCTACTTAATTGTCTACGAGTTTGTGCTTAATATATTACCCTGCGGTTGCTGTCGAGTTGGTTGGCATTGTTGCTTGTATCGAGAACCGTGAACGCAACGATGGGCTGTTCTCCATCGTTGTAGACCCAGTGAGCAACTCCTGCAGGGATTGCGATGATGTCACCCTCTCTGAAGTGGTCGACTCTCTGGTGCTGGTCTCTCTCCGACCGTCCTCGGCGGCCTTCTTCACGCGATGTCCTAGGGTCGCCTCGCTGGAAGGACTGGAACGATTCCGGGCATCCCGGCATCACATTGCCGAAAATACCCTTGCCTGCATGCATAAAAGCACGTAGTTAGGACTAAACTCAATATATCCGCAGATTCAAAAATTAAGCTTAGCCTGTTAGGTGTTGGTTAATGTTTGTTCAAATAAAATACCTTGGACAACGTAAGTGAGGGCATGAGCATTGTAGAATTTAGGCAAGACGAGGCCTCCAGGCTGAACAATACGGCGGTGTGCGGCTACCCCGGCGCACTCGAACTGCTCGTTGTCCTCGTCAAAGTACTCGGTGAGGCCTGCCTCAGACTCGACCCTCCGCCTCGGTTCCTGGGCGTTGAGCCTCTCGATCCGGCACCGGCTCTGAGACCCGAACCGGCGCTGGCTCCCGAATGGGCTCCTCCCTTGTTCCCCGAATTGGGCTAAAGAGACGTCGAACAAGAGGAGGAGAGAGAGGGAGAGGGAGAGCAAGTAACCCCTAGAGAATATTGCCATTACTAGCTACTCAGTGAGTATGTATGTATCTCTATTGCTCTGAGTGATGAAGGGAGAGGAGAAAGGGGGTGGGGTATTTATAGGCTTAAGGGAGGGGAGTTTGTTGAGGAAGAGGACAGTTTGCATGGAGTTGAGGGTTTGGGGAGCGTCCTCGTGTTGCCGCATTTGAGTTACTCGGTGGACTCGTGGCGCAGGAGTTGAGGATGAGTACAAAGTTAGGTACTCTCTTTTCAGAGCGATTTCTACTCTTTCTTTCTTTTCTTTTACTCTTGAATCGGATTAAATTCGTTGCACAAGTACTCATAAGAGCTGGCTGAGTGTTCCTATTAGAATTCAAAATTATAATGTTAAATTCTCACCACAGCTTCGAAGTACGATATTAGAGCAATTGATTCCTACTATTTATGAATTAATATTAGCTTTAAAAGTCGATGCTGCTACATGAATTTAAATTTCAGCCCATCAAAAGGGTAATCATGTTGTGCGCGGAAGCCAATTGTTGTGCTTCGAGGAACCAAACACAAACGCCGAGAGAGAAAGCCAAACAATGCAAAATAACGACACAAACACAAACAACCAATTTTACGTGGTTCGGCAATTTGCCTACGTCCACGGGGCAAGTAGGGGATGAGTTTTCACTAATAGAGAATGAGAGTACAAACTGAGATTACAAATCACTCAAAACAAGCCAACTAATCTCACCAACAAAGCTCTCAATCTCTCAAACAATAACCCTAACCAATAGCTTAGGAAGATCTCTCTTTTCTGTGCTCTAATAACCCAAAAAACAATCCCAAAGAAACCCTAAAACGTGTGTTTGAATTTATATCAAGCAGCAATCCCAAAGAGAACAGGAAACCACAATCAGGCCCAAACCCGACTTGCGGTCGACTCAAAATCGTCGTGATCGATCGGACAGAATGACATAAATCAAAAAAATACATTACAGGTGTTGTCCTTCTTATTTTGATGATGTTTAACAAACAATTTACAACTAATGTTGTTTGTCTAGTATTTGTGTTTTCTTATTTATTGTAGACAAACAACATATTGGAGGATGGATGGATTACGCCACAACGATCATATCCAATGGAGGTTGGCGGAATTGTGGAGTGAAGCCTACACAATTCAAAGTTAAAGATCAAGTTCAAGCTTCATCCGCAAGTGTACCAAGTCGAGCCTATTGAAGATCAAGATCTAGCTTGGGTAACTTAGTTTAGATGTTTATATTATGTGTGTTAAGTACTTTAAGCTGAATTATCTATACACACACATTTATTGGTTTCTTCGTGTGTGTGTGTATATATATATATATATATAATTGTGTTTTAGTATATATTGCATAGAATATGTAATTTTGTGAAAATATTATTTTCTTAGTTTTTGGACTTAACAATAATCATATACATATTTTATTAAGTCTATATAATCATTGTGTAAAGTTTCAAAACATGGTTTAGCCTAAATGTCAAAATTCACATGTTTACATTTTCGTGATTTGGAGTATTTTTGCAAAATGATGATTTTTCACAAATGGGAAATGTAATTTGGAAAATTCTTTTTGCAACATGTTTATTTACACGTTTATATACATTTCCCAAAGTTTCATAATTTTTGGACTTCATTTGTTATTTTTAACAATTTTCCAAAAGTCAAAAAATTTGTTTTCAAACCTGTTTTTCTATAGTGTCAGTTCGCGGTCGACCGCCACGGTTGACCGCCAAGAGGCCCACGGTCGACCGTGACGGTCGACCGTGATCCTTCCAGAGAGTTTCGCGGTCGACCGCCGCGGTCGACCGCCGCGGTCGACCGCCGCTTGTCCAGAACAGTTCTTCGTCTTTTTATTCTTCGCGGTCGACCGCGAATATTTTACGATCAAGCGCTGATATGACCGTTGGACTCCAACGGTTATTTTCTGAGTTGTTTTTCTGGGGGCTTTGTTGTCATTTTAGTGGGGTTTTTGCTGAAGTTTTGAGTGGGTATAAATACCCCATTGCCTTCAGCTCTCCACCTAACCATGAGAGTGTTTTAAACAAGTTTAAGAAAGTTTTTAACAAGGGTTTATGGTTGGTTTGAGTTTAGTTTAAAGCTGTTTTGGTTTTCACAAGTGGAGGAGATCATCTTCTTGTTTGGGCTTCAATCTCCATCTCTCCATCTTGTCATCTATTGAGAAGTTTTCTAAACTCTACTCTAGCTTTTATTTATTAATTATTTGTTAATTATCATTTCTATTAAAGCTAGTTTTATATTGAGTTTAGATTTGATTTTACTCATTGTTGCACACACCCACTTGAGCTTATTGTATTTGCATACATAGTATATTAGGGTTGTGAGAGATTGTAACTTTGAGTTGTGCTTAATTGAGTTCTCCCATTGTATGAGAGAACAAATCATTTATTATTACATTATGAGATTGTAAGGTTTTTGGTGAGCTAGAAAACCGAGTGTGTTGTGAAGTTTTCGGTGAACTAGAAAACCGAGTGTGAGGAGTGAACGTTGTTCGGTGAGCGTTGAAAACCGACACTGTGAGGTGTAAACGTTATTCGGGTGAACGTAGAAAATTAACCCGATTGTGATAGTGGATTTCTCCCCGGGAGAGGGGAGCGGAGACGTAGGACGGAAGGTCCGAACTCCGTGATCATATTGCTTGTTTGAGTTTGTCTTTGGCGTATTTGCTTTTGCATTTATCTTATATCGCCATTTGTGCATTGCTCATTTATTTCATCCACTATCTTGTTTAGATTATTGTTTCCCCTTGTGTTAGTTTATATATATCCTTGCATATATATTTTATCATATACGATATATCTTATTGTTCATATTGCTTATCCTAGCTTATATTTTTGTTGTATTTCATACTTGCTAGGATAACTTGTTAATTAATTTTAATTGGCATAAAATCGGATTAGATTAGCATAAGACCCTAATCACCCCCCCTCTAGGGTCCAACAACAGGGTCCATGGTCGACCGCACTTGACGTCGCGGTCGACTAGCCAGAAAACCGAAAACACCCTGTAGTAGTACACGTTTGCGGTCGACTGCGCTAAAGCTCGCGGTCGACCGGCAAGCACCCAAATGCCTATCTGCATCAAATTTCCTGATCTTCTCTAATGTTTTCACCGTTTTTATAATTCTTCACCTCAGCGAAGTTTACCCAAAACTGAGCCGATACCAACCAAACCAAATATCCCACTTGTTGCGTCTAGTACGAAGTAAAATAAATTCACGATAACGAACTCAATCCACAACAAGTCGACAACCCAAACGAGAATGCGAACAAACTCCAAATGTCGGTATCAACTCACCAAACTGGCTACATCATAAATGACTACCTACGTATCCTCTTGCCCAAGGAATCAAGTCTTCACGTAGTTCACCTAGCCTCCAAAGGCCCTCAATCCAATAGAAGAGTTCTTAACTCTTCATCAACAAATCTGTGACTAATAGCTCTCCTAATGGCCCCAAAGTGAAACAAACCAAACACCTTCACCTGAAGTGAACCAACGGCCATATCCAAATCCAAACTATGTCCACTAGCTGCACTCGAATCAACCAACTCATCATCTGCATCCACATCAATATGATCCCCAAACTGTGTCACCTCAACTGGAATCCCAAACGATGCAGTATGATCTGGAGTATGTAGAGTAATCTCCACCTAATGTGGAGTAGCATCACTCTCTACTTGCTGCAATATCCTAACGATCTGATCAACACTCTCTACCTACCGAGAGTCAAATGTGACATACCTGCTCAGAACAAAATCAGAAGCTAATACCTGATAATCAAACACTCCTCTGAATTCCAAATGTGCACTCGGATCAAATCTCACATCCTCGATGTGACTATATGCTGGGCGACCAAACATCCGAAGCAACCCAATATCTGAAGCAGCTTCACCAGATCCAAAATCTCTAAATACAGCAGTCAGCAACATATGACTAAGATGACCCAAATATGTTGAAGCCCGAACACCAAAACCAATCCTCGACATCAAACGTCGATCCTCCTCTAGTAAGGAACGATCCATTAAAACTGTCATCTCATCTCGTTGCCCCAATATTTCCTCTCCAGTGAAGTGTCTCAAATTGCCATGAGCTCGACACAAATGCAAAAAAAAACCCTTACCAAAAACAGAACGTCATGTTACCTTTCCGCCAATATACTTTCTCCACATGTTGTTGACTTCTAGGACTTTATACTAATAGGACTTGATTGCAACCCACAAATACCTAGAACAGTTCCCAACATAGGAAACCAAATATCGATTACCTCCCAATGATACCTCCTTGGAAGGCCTCCAAATATCTGAATGAACACCAACTAGAAGACCCTTTGCTCGATGAATAGAAGTGTCAAACTCCACCTCGGTCTTCTTGCTCATACCAATGTGCTCACAGGACTTCAATTTGTAGGTCAAAACACTCCTCTAAAATCCATGCATGACACCAATAATCGAATAACACATCCTCAACAAACGCCACAGTCTAGCCAAATCCAAAGAAGTCGTCATCTCTCTACCAATCACCGTGCTTCCAATCAAACTATACAAATTCTTCCTCCTGACACCCTTCATCACAATCATGGACCCAAATGTAACCTTCAGAGATGCATCCTCTAAGGTCACCCTATAGCATGCTGTCTTCAAAACTCCAAGTGAAATGATGTTCTTCTTCAACTAAGGAACGAACCTCACTTCATCCAACTCCCGAATCACTCTGTCACACATCCTAATACGAACTGTACTGATACCACTAATAGGGCATTCATCATCATTACCCATAAGCACGATATCCCATATTTCTAACTCCTGAAAGCTGGAGAACCAATCCCTCCTAGAGTAAATGTGGTAAGAAGCACTTGAATCCAACATCCACTCTGTAGAGTTGGCAACACAAACTGACGGTAGCGCAGGGCACGAATAGCCCGAAGAATTCGAATATGAATTGCCGTCACTAGCCTTGGCAACATTCACCTCTGAAGGTTGAATAGAATTCCT